GAAACTTTACCTTTACCCTAAGATGGAGGGTTGTGTCCTTCCTTTTATTTATTTATTTTCTGTTTATTCAATTGATATGCTGCCCAACTTTCTGTCACTAAGCCCTGCTTGGCTGTGGGGTATTGAATAAACCAGGATTGCTAGTTCCATTAATTCCTCAAGTGGGAGGCTAGGATATGCAACGCCCTTTGGATGGGCTCAGATCAAGGCACAATGCAAGATTCAGCTTGGCTTTAAAACCTGTTTTTGTGACCAGGTGGAATCTATATATATTCAAGCCAAGTACTATTCATCACGAAATCTCCGAAACCGTAAAGCCTACAAACTTGAAATTTAGCACGTATGTTCCTCTTGGCTTCTAGATGCTCACTAAGAAAGGATTTTTCGAAATGAATACAGTAATTAACACTCTGATGCTAAAGAGTTCTACTCCCCCTCCCCACCTGAAAAAAACTCTGTTCCAACTGCCAGTTGCCTCACATTCTGTTACATCAGTTCAAACTGACAAGACGTTCCACTCCTTCACTCAGGAGCGGTCTGAGGCTCCTTATAGTACTAAACGTCAGTACCTCACCAAAATGTCTACACCTTCCACCTATGGAACTGCTTCCGGACTCAAGGCGGAGGGAGTGATATTCCCTTATGTGTTTCAAACTCCGACCATCACTGAGCCAACAGATTGTGAAGCGAATTTCTCCTGCATAGCCCAATCACATAGTTTTGTCATGAAGCACGGGTATCCAGCTACTAGCATTCAATAAGATGTTCTTTTTTTTCTTGCTCAGAGAAATCCCATTTAACTAGATAACCTGAATACATTTAAATCTGGAATTTGTGGCTGGGCAACGTTGTGGGAATATCCTTAAAAAGCTTGTTTACGAAGTTGCGTTGAGGTCATTTATGCTGTTTTCCTCGAAGGCATTCTCAATCTTTTAGCACAGGGATAGGCAATTATGGCCTCTTTCGTGACCCGTGGACTTCAACTCCCAGAATTCCTGGGCCAGCAGGAATTCTGGGAGTTGAAGTCCACAGGTCATTAAAGGGGCCATATTTACCCACCCCTGCTTTAGCCTGGAAAACACCACCCCCTCCTCTTCTCTTTCAGACTCGCCCTTTCAAAAGATGCCAAGAAGTACTTTGATGAGAGGACCCGAGTTCTGGAAGCTCCCTTGACTATCATTGTTTCTGATCAGGTCAGCCTGGGCAATCTTTGGCTTGTTTTTTGCTCTGTAAGCACAAACCCCAGGTCACCCACATCTCATTCTAGACAAACCTGGATTCTTTACCTCTATTCAAATGTAATATATTTGGTTCTGACTTAGGCTTCCTGAAAAACTCTCTTTTATTTAAACGGCTGTGAATTATGGTCATTCAGAGCCCATATCGTTTCACAAACAGTCTGTAAAAGAGTCCGACAGATGTCTGCCTGAGTTGCCAAAGTCTTTCGGGGTGATGATGATAAGCATAAGCACCCACCTTTATCTCCCTTGAAACGCTGCCAGAGACCTAATTGCCAATTAGTTTTGCAAGGCCAAACGTAGCACAGAGTCAAAACAGAGCTTCAGCATTTAAACTAACCAAAACGAACAAAATTGCTTCCTGCAAAGGCTCACGTCCCTTTGCTCTTCTCTTATGGGAGGGCCCAATCATCTCCAAGCCTTACTCCCAAGTCACCCTTTTTAGTCTTAACTTTTCTTGCCTTCTAGCAGCATGCGCACACTGGGAACAGGCTCACACTGTTCTTCTGCCTCGCTGATGTCAGATTCCGGAGGCTTTGGAGGCAGCACATAACTACCAGATGCCCCTGGCCCCCTCTCTGCCTCCAACACAGAGCCCTCGTCCAAGCCTTCCCCAGACTCCAAGACTGGCCCATGTTCCTTCCCAACCTCCTCACTGTCCGACTCTGCTGCCAGCTGCGCAGGCCGCTTGTGGACCACAACAATATTGCTGATCCTGTTGCCGTTCGGCTTCATTTTCTGGTTTTTAGAGCAAGCCGGTTGAATTCAGCATGCACGCCATCCTAACCACCTCAGATTTAGAGATCGTCCCAAACGAAGTGGATTTTGGATACTGCTCTATCTACGAAGCTGTTCGGACAACCATCACCGTCACCAACAAAGCAATTCTCCCACAGGAGTTTGGTTTCGTCGGGCAGCCAAAGGTAAAAAAGATCTGCTTGCCTCCCTTGGAAATTTGCAGCCCGGATGAGAATTATGCGCAGCTGTTTAGGATGGAGACTTCTGGTGGTTGCTGCTTAGAACGAAATCTACATTAGGAAATTGCAATTTCTTCATTTTTGTACCCTGGGCAAGGCAGTACATTTCCGTCGTGTCTCCTAGTGTGTGTTCTGACCTTGGCTTCCCGAGAAAGCATGAATCGCAATCTTAGTCCCCCAAACCCTCTTTTTATTTATACGGCTGTGGGTTATGGTCGTTAAGAGTCCGCAAGGCTTCACAAACAGTCCATGAAGAGTCTCCGAAGTGAGGCGTGGGAGGAGTCACACATGGGTATTAACACAGTCCTTTTGCCCTGGAGACTGAGGTAAATCTTGAAGCCACACCTCCATTCCTCATCTGACCTCCCAGATTAACCTCAGTCTCTGGCCCAGGAGGAGTGTTTTACCTGACTCTCCCTCACTTCGAAGATTCCGACAGATGTCTGCTCGAGTTGCCACAGTCTTTCAGGGGAATGTTGATAAACACCCACCTTTATCTCCCTGGAAATGCTGCCAGAGATCTAAGTGCCAATTGCGGAGCAAGGCCAAACGTAGCACAGAGTCAAACAGAACGTTTCAAAGCTTGAACCGACCAGATGAACTAATTGCTTCCTGCAAAAGCTCACCTCCCGTTCTCTCCTCTTTTATGTCTTATGGGAGGGGCCAATCATCTCCAGGCCTTACTCC